TCGAGAGGCAAGGACTTACTATGTGTCCCACGCGACCGTCGTCTTCGGACTCGCCTCCTCGGCGAGTACCATGATTCACGACTCGCCGGCCATTTCGGAGTCAACTGCATTATTGCACGACTTCGACAGCGATTCCGATGGCCCGACCTCATTACCGATGTCACTCGGTATTGCGACTCTTGCGAAGTTTGCCGACGCAGCAAGCCCCGCAACCGCAATCCCTACGGCGAGTTACACCCGATGCCTATCCCACGGGAACCCGGTCTCTCCATTGCCATGGACGTCACCGGTCCGTTTCCTCGCGACCGGCTCGGGCACGACGACATCCTCATGGTTGTGGACCGATTGAGTAAGTACGCGCRTTTTCTCCCTTGSAAGTACTACTCCACGGCTCCCGAGCTGGCACGCCTCCTGCACACTGGTTGGATTTGTGGCCACGGTGTACCAGAAGACATTGTCAGAGACCGCGACACTCGTTTCATGTGGGCTTTTTGGACTGCTGTCATGCAGGAGTCCGRCACAACAATGAAACCAAGTTCGGCTCGACACCCTCAGACAGACGGGCAGACGGAGCGGGCACATCAGACCGCTCAAATGATGCTTTGTACGCTCATCCGTCCGGACCAGAAAGATTGGGTTGACCGCCTCCCCGACATCGAGTTCGCCTACAACACTTCGGTGCATCCGGTGATCGGCGTGACTCCATTCGAGTTGCACCACGGTGGACGGAAAGGCCGGATCTTCGTCGACCTTCTCCTCCCTCGACCAACCGACATTGACGCTGCCTGCTCTCCCTCTTCCGTCTGGAAGTACAGAGAATTGCTGACTCAAGCCCGCGCAAATATGCAAAAGGCTCAAGTCCGCATGCAGCAGCAAGCCAACAGGCGTCGCGTACCATGTCCCATCCGCGCCGGTGATCTGGTTTGGGTCTCCGCGGAAGAGTTTGCACTGGAACAGGATGTTTCACGCAAACTGCTTCCCAAGTGGTTTGGACCTTGGTCGGTGACAGCAGCCGCGGGCGATGAGCCCGATGGCCCTTCATTTGTGATCAACAT